TTCTCATTCATCCTGACAATTGCTCATGTTCCTTTTCTCATTCATCCTGACAATTGCTCATGTTGCTTTGTGCTGATAAGCTTCGATGAGACATAGTGGAAGGAAGTTTCCAAGTGACTCAAATATTTGCCTGGACCAGTAGGTTCACCACACCTTAGGAAAAACTTATTGATCTTGGACAAAATGCAGTGTAGATTTGATAGGATGAAACCTGGTCTATGAAGGAGAATAACTCAACAAACTGGGATAATATTCTCTGGAATTAGGTTAATCAGCAATTTCATCAAAAGTTTTCGAACTATTAAGAGGAACAGGTAAGGTAGATGGAGAGAAACTATTTCCATGTTAGGGCAAGGGACAAGAGTCTAAAATTTAAGGTCTTTCTGGCATGAAATGAAGAAACACTCATTCACAGAAATGGCTGGGAGAGGTTTCGAACTCTCTTCTGGAAATGGCAATCGATGGATGATCAGTTGTTAATTTTAAATTTAAGATCGATGCTCAATAGAATTCAGTGATATGGAAAAATGTGTTTACTTGGAGTTAGATTGTGAATCAGTCATGACCACAATGAATGGCAAAACCAGCTCAAGTGGCTAAAAGATCTTTAACATAGTAACCCAAGTATGCAGCCCACTCTCCGTTTGAATGTGACCCCCTCATGGAAGCATAGGAATGCTGAAATGCCTAAATCTTCAAATTAATTGATTGCTAGATTTGTGTTTAATTTAAACTATTAAATCAGAAACTAGCGTCATAAGAGTTATAGAACTGTCCAGCACGGAAACAGTCCCTTCGGACCAACTCATCCATGATGACCTGATATCCTAAATTAGTGTAGTCCCATATGCCAGCATTTGGCCCATATCCCTCTAAACCCTTCCTTTTCATATGCCCACCCAGATAACTTTTAAATGTTGAAATCATACCAGCCTCCATCACTTCCTCTGGCAGCTCATTCCAAAAATGCACCAGCCTCTCCATGAAAAAGTTGCCCTTACGTCCCTTTTAAATCTTGCCCCTCTCATCTTAAACCTGCGTCCTCTAGTTTTGGCACATCCCATCCCAGGGAAAAGACCTTAGCTACTCATCCTATTCATGCCCCTCATGATTTTATAAACCTCTCTGACATCACCCCTTAGCCTCCGATGCTGCAGGTAAAATAGCTCCAGCCTATTCAACCTCTTCTTTATAGCTCAAACCCTCCAACCCTGACAACATCCTTTACAATCTATACTGAACCCTTTCAAGTTTTACAACATCCTCCCTATAGCAGGGAGACAGGTATTGAACACAGTATTCCAAAAGTGGCCTAAATAATATCCTGTAAAGCTGCAACGTGACCTCCCATCTCCTATACTCAATGCAATGACCAAAAAAGGCAAGTATACCAAATGCGGCCTTCACTATCCTATCTACCTGTGACTCTACTTTCAGGTAACTATCAACCTGCATTCCAAGATCCCTTTGTTTAGCAACACTCTCTAGGACCTTATCATCAAGTGTATAACTCCTGCCCTGATTGGCCTTTTCAAAATGTAGCACCTCACATTTATCTAAATTAAACTCCATCTGCTACTCCTCTGCCCATTGGCACATCTGATTAAGGTCCTGTTGTACTCTAAGGTGACTTTCTTCACTGTCCACTACACCTCCAATTTTGGTATCATCTGCAAACTTCCTAGCCGTACCTCTTACATTCATATCCAAATGATTTATATAAATGACAAAAAGCAGTGGATCCAGTACTAATCCTTGTTGTACACTGCTGGTCATGCTGGTATCCAAATAGTAGTTCTCCCTCTATTCCATATGATCTAACCTTGCTAACCAGTCAACTAGGAGGAACCTTGCCAGATGCCTTACTGAAGTCTATATAGATTACATCCACCGCTCTGCCTACATCAATCCTCTTCATTACTTCTTCAAAAAACTCAGTCAAGTTAGAGAGACATGATTTCCTTCACACAAAGCCATGTTTACTATTCCTAATCAGTCTCTGCCTTTTCAAATACATGTAAATCCTGTCCCTCAGGATTCCCTCCAACTACTTGCCCACCATGGATGTCAGGCTCACCGGTCTATAGTTCTGTGGCTTTTCCTTACCACCTTTCTTAAATAGTGGCACCACGTTAGTCAACCTCCAGTCTTCTGGCACCTCACCTGTGACTATTGATGATACTAATATCTCAGCGAGGGGTCTAACAATCTCTTCCTATCTTCCCACAGAGTTCTAGAGTAGGCCTGATCAATTCCTGGGGATTTATCCACATTTATGCATTTTAAGACATGCAACACCTCCTCCTCTGTAATATGGACATTTTTCAAGATGTCGCTATTTATTTCCTCACGTTTATTATCTTCCATATCCTTCCCCACAGTAAACACTGGTGCGAAATACTTGTTTTTTAACTCCCCCATTTCATGCGGTTCCACACATTGGATCTTTAAGGGGTCCTATTTTCTCTCTTGTTACTCTTTTCTCTTTAATGTATTTGTAGAATCCCTTTGGATTCTCCTTAACTGTATTTTCCAAAGCTTTGTCGTGTTGCCTTTTGGCCCTTCTGATTTCCCTCTTAAGTATACTCCTACAGCCTTTATACTCTTCTAGAGATTCACTCGATCTCTGATGTCTATACCTGACATAAGCTAGCCTTCTTATTCTAAAGCAAAACCTCAATTTCTCTAGTCATCCAGCATTCCCTACACCTACCAGCCTTGCCCTACATCCTAATGGGAATTGATTGTTATTGGAATTTGTCTTTTATTTTTCATTTGTGCCTTTTCCATTAGAGTGGAGCTAATGGGGCGCTCCACTCTGGTTGCCAAGATAATACAGAACTTAAAAATTTGGGGTAACCCATCTGGAAATGTAATAAATTGGGAAATCTTGTGCTGGCTTTCATTGTAACAGTGTACCTATAAGATGGACTACAGAAATTCACGATGGCTCCTTAGAAAGCACTTTCTAAATCTGTGACCTCTACCATCTAGAAAGTCAACGGCAGCAGTTATTTGGAAACACCACCATCTCAATTCATTTTGGAAGGACAAACTTGAAAGCAGAATACAGGGTTAAGGGAAAGATTCTTGGCAGTGTGGAGGAGCAGAGGGATCTTGGGGTTCATGTCCACAGTTCCCTGAAAGCTGCCACGCAGGTGGATAGAGTTGTTAAGAAGGCATATGGTGTGTTAGCTTTCATTAATAGAGGGATTAAGATCAAGAGCCGTGAAGTTATGCTCCAGCTATACAAAAGCCTGGTTCGGCCACATCTGGAGTATTGTGTCCCGGTCTGGTCACCTCAATATAGAAAAGATATGGAAGCATTGGAAAAGGTGCAGAGGAGATTTACCAAGATGTTGCCTGGAATGGAGGGTAGGTCATAAGAGGAAGGATTGAGAGAGCTAGGGCTTTTCTCTTTAGAAGAACGAAGGATGAGAGATGACTTGATAGAGGTATACAAAATGATCAGAGGTATAGATAGAGTGGACAGCCAGAGACTTTTTCCTAGGGTGGAGGTAGCTATTACGAGGGAGCATAGTTTTAAAGCGAGTGGAGGTAGATATAGGGGAGATGTCAGAGGTAGGTTTATACTCAGACAGTGGTAGGGGCATGGAATGCATTGCCGGAGAGGGTAGTGGAGTTGGCCTCATTAGGGGCATTTAAGCGGCTATTAGGTAGACATATGGATGATAGTAATAAGGTAGGGGTGGAGGTTAGATAGACCTTAGGATTAGGGTAAAAGTTCGGCACAACATCATGGGCCGAAGGGCCTGTACTGTGCTGTACTGTTCTATGTTCAAGGTTCCCTCCAAGAAACCCATCATCTTAAGTTGGAATTATATTGCAGTTCCCTCGCTGTCACTGGCTCAAAATCCTAGACTCCACTTCTAAAACAGCACTGTGGGTGTACCTATCCCCAAAGGACTGCAGCAGTTCAAGAAGGCAGCTCACTACCACCTCCTCATGGACAACTAAGAATGGGCAAAAGATGCTGGCCTTACATCCCATGAAGAGATCAAATCTTTGTAGATTTTTGACTGTTTTTCCAAATAAGAAAATGTCTGGAGGCTCAGCCTGGGTGATGGGGAAAGGCGGCAGTGAGAAATAAAAATGAGAAGTTTGTTTCAAATATTGAAATGTTAAAATAATTTACATAGGACAAGGAAAGAAAATCAGGCAGACAAAAGGTGATTACTATTGTTTGTTCATAGACTGTAAACAAGAATCAATTCATTCACCTATGGTATCTAATAAAAACTCGTGTGTATTGTATTTTACCTGCTTTTGACAGTGAACAAGAAAATTCAAACAGAGACACACACACAGGCAATCAGTCCAGTCAAGTGTGAAAGTACAGGAAGAAGCTTCTATGGTGTGGATAACATTCCCTGAAGTCAGCAGATTGTATCCATTGGATTTATTTTTTGAAATCTGCATTGCGCTCTCCTTCAAATATTTGTTGATGTCATTAGTTAAGTGACTATGTCCCAAGAAGGTAACAGCTCTGGCCAGTTCTAAATAGAATTGGTGAGATGCAACAATACATAGCTATTGGTTCTTCTGTATTGAACACAATTGCAGAAACTGTGGGTAAAAGCTTCTGGATTTAGCCCATTCCTGAACAGTAGGACCATTCTTGTGTCAGGATTCTTGGAAGGCTTTAGCAAGGTAAAGGCACTATCCACTTGGCCTTCTGGGAAGGATGTCTTGATTCCAGAGGCTGTAGATGTCAGTAGTGATTTGCCATGACAAACTGAGCCTCGATGTACTGATCTCACTCATGTTGGGAATGTTGATCCTATATCTATAGATTTTGTGTTGGGATGTTTTGCCTTTCTCCAGTTGGGATCTTGGTGTCTTTTCCCTCTGCCCTACATGGGGGCATGTAGCTCAGGAGATGGCAGCAGGTGATGGTGCTGCTAGTGTTACTTCTGCTCTCATCAGTGCATTTGGTAAATGTGTGACCTTCGCTCTTCGCCCTTGTTAGAGGTATTGATGGCTCTGTATATATTACTCCCGTACCATGGTGAGAGCTAGCAACAGGAGAGTGTGACTGAACGTGTGTGAAGTACTGGAGAGGTAAAGTGACTTCTGAGAAGTTGGTACAGTAGTTATCTGCCATGCAGTGTCAGCATTCTCTGCGAAAAGGAAAGCTTTAAACAGCAGCCTTTCAATGGAGCTCTTCACTGTCATTGATCAGTGGTTTAGCTGCTTGTCAGTTTCATTGAAGAAATTCTAACTGTGTGCCTTACCTGGATGACACTGGAAAGTGGCTGGCAGATTGGGAAATCCTAAATTTGGAACTAAAAATAATCTTAATTTGACTTTCTAGTGACCTTAATAAAATATCAGCAGGATTCAAGGAGGTTTGCCACTTGCCTTCAATTCTGCCTTCAGGAAACCTGGAAGAGGTTGGGATAAGGCTGGGCTTTCACCCAATCGTCAATTTCAGAATATTGCACAAACACAAACCACCCTCCTCTTCCCTGGGAACACTGTGTCCAGCCTACCTGCTGCACATTGTGTCCTTTAGACAACGCAATACTAATAAAAATATGGTGTTGCGGACATGGTAAAATGAGACGATCACAAGTTTTGTCAAAGATGTACGTTTGAAAGGAGGACATAATGTGCGAGAAATAGGTAGACAGCTTAAGGCAGGCATTTTCAGGGTTTAAGGCAGAGGAAGTTAAAGGACCAGCTTCCAGTGATGGACTGAAAATACTTTCAGATCCACATGAGGTCAGAATAGTAGGAAAGCCAAGATATTCACAGGTTTAGGGCTGCATTTGCTGACGTAGGTAGAGAGATGTGAGGCTAAGAGGGACTCAGGGTGAGGGACAGAGAGAACAGAGTTTGCGTAAGGGACCAAAGACCATGATCTCTGCTTTTACAATACATTGCTGAGGGAAAAATTTGCTTTATTAAATAGTGGTCACAGAAGAAACAGTCTTACCAATCAGAGGGATTGAGACAGTATGTAATGAGGGAAAGCTGGTCTTGGTCAGACAGATGAAAGCTGACTTTGTAATTTACAACAATGTCACCAAGTGACAGAGATCCTGCAGAGATTCCAAAACCAACAGCAGATGAGCAAAAAGTCTAGGCTTGTGAATGACATAGGTTGAAGTTCCCCTGATTCCTGTGTGAGATTTAGCAGATATAAATGCCATCGCTTACATTTAGCACTTACCTTTACCCAAATCAAAGACAAATTGTTCTTTTCTTTCTCTACTTGAATCAAATATTTTTCCATTTAACAGGGTCCCAGTATAATGGACAAATACTTTATCGCCTATCATTGGAATCTCATTGTCAATGCCTGGCTTCTTGATAATCTGTAGGAACAAAATAAGATGTCAGAGCGTCACAAAGCCAGTAACTCTGCTAACTAAGCCCTGTAAATATTGATCAGTCGTCAGTGTAACTAAAACTCGGAACCCTTCTTGACTGAGCCTAATTTTGCTTCTGCTTCTTCTCTGTCGCACATGACATGTTAATGAGCTCTATTCAGCATCATTTACCTTCTCCCATTGTGGCATGGTGGGAAAGTTGAGAAGACCTTGGTCAGCAATGCCACTGGATAATATCGAATGTCCAAGTTAAGAGCTGCTATTAATTGTATTAGGGGAGGAAAACTGCAGTGATGCAAATGTTTATTAGCAACAGCATTGTTGTAAATATAATTTGTCTTCCCTAATTTACCTCCAACTACATTAACTGTAAATTAAAACTATCTGATAAAGCTGAATATTTAAAGAGAACCATAATCAATCTTGATTCAAAATCATCCGTACATTAATTGACACATGCCATGAGATATATGTATCAAACATGAGAAAGCACTGTCACACTCTACTTCAAACCCCGGGGGGACACTGTCACACTGTGTACTTCATAATCACAAACATTCGGTCACCATGTATTTCAAGCATTAGGGGACACTGGTTAATTCAGAAGTCTCTTACACTGAGCTTCAAACACCAGGTATACTGTCACACTGTGTGCTCCAGCAACACAGGGTACTTTTTACTGCATTTAGAGTCACATTGTGCATTTTGTCTATTTAAGGCTACCATACACATATACCAACAGAGGGAGTCTAGACTACACCGGTAGAAAGGACTAGCTAACCCTCAGAAAACAGAGAACTGGAATAAAAGCGTCATTTTCGGAATGACAAACTGTAACTTACCGAGTGCCATTACCTGAATCAATACTAAGGCCTCGACTATTAACAATCTATACCAATGACTTGAATGAAGGTATCCACTGCATTGTAGCAAATTTCCAGTGAAGATATGAATGTGTGAGTCATGAGGACAATACAAAGAGTTTTTGAGGGATATGGTTACACTAAGAGAGCAGGAAAGCTGGTGTATAATAGGGGAACATGTAGCTAGTCCAATTTTGCAGGATCACATGGTTACATATCTATTTATATGGAAGTGAGTGTGAAATAATTCCTGCTTATTGATCAATATAGGCTTGTTCAACAATCCAAGTGGCAAAGCACCCACTCTCAGTACAAGAGTACTAGTTTCAAGTTAAGTACCTGCCAGGCCAACTCAACTCAGTGGGCTATCTTTCAAAACATCCGTTGTTGCTGATAGTCAGTCCTACCAGCTAAGAAGAAAGGCATTCCAAATAAGCTTCAATCTATGTAAGCCATAAAAGCTGTGCATAATTCACTAAAAAAAAAGCTAACATCAAAGGAACCATAAAACAAACTGCGGTGTTGCAATGATGATATGCTACAGCTCTGGAATCTCAAAGCTGAAAAGGCATGATTGAAACAGTGTCTACAAATAAGATCACTCACTCTCTATTCTCTTCAAAATGGGCAACTACATATGATACTGCACTACATATTGTCATTGCAATCATTGAGAAAACATGTTGTTGATAGAGGGCATGAAGATAAATTGTGGCTTTGCTGACAGCACATGGACTGCAGTGGTTTAAGTCAGCAGCTCACTGCCACCTTCTCAAGGACAGCTAGGGGCACACAATTAATGCTGGCCCAGCCAGCAATATCTACATCCCACCAGCGAATAAAAAGACGAGGAATTGTCAAAATCAAACAACTGCTTAGGGAGAGGTACAAGTCCCAGGAATAAACCGTAAGAGTATAGAATCAATGTTGCCTTGTCAATCAACTACAGATCAAATGTGGGATAATAGGTCGCACAACATCGTGGGCCAAAGGGCCTGTACTGTGCGGCACTGTTCTATGTTCTAAATCTTCATGTCCATCTCAAGGTGCCTGAATTTCCTCCAGAACTGTGGAATGAAGATAGTGTTGAATGTGCAGATTGCCCTTGGGTGGGGACCAGCTTGTTGCCATTGATGTCCACAGCAGATTCCCAGTTCTGGAAATATCATAGCATCCCTACAGTGTGGAAGGAGGCCATCCAACCCATCAAGTCCACATCAACTCTCCAAACAGCATCCTCACCCAGACTCACCCCATTCCTGTAACCCTGTATTTCCCATGGCTAATCCACCTAACCTGCACATTATGGGTTATTTAGCATGGCCAATTAATCTACACATCTTTTAACTTTGGGAGGAAACCTACACAGACACTGGGAAAATGTGCAAACTCCACACAGACCATTCACATGGGGCTGGAATTGAACCTGGGCCCCTAGCACTGTGAGGCTGCAGTGCTAACCACTGAGCTACCATACAACCTTAATAGCTACATCCACTTCAACAAAAGCAGACAGCCCAAAATCTGACCAGATTCTTATACTTTGTTTGGACGCACTCACATGCTGAGATGTGGCAATGGGTCACTATTCAGCAGCAATGAGTTCAACAAACATCCCAAACACCTGGGCCTCACCGCCCAAAAAAAATCACACCCCATTTGCCAAGAATGAATGGAGAAGCTGGGTGTTATTTTAAGTACTTAGAGAAACTGATTGCATACAGCTTCAGATAAGAGCAAGTCATGGAAGCAGGAAATGTTTTACTTCCTTCGCAATTACAGAGAGAGACTCCACACTCAGTGACTGAAAACAGCCTGGCTACAGTGGAGTCTCTCTCTGTAATTATGAAGGAAGCAGAACATTTCCTGTTTCCATGACTTGCCCTCATCCAAAGCTGTATGCAATCAGTTTCTCTAAGTAATTAAAATAACTCCTAACTTCTCCATTTGCTCTTGGCAAATGGGGTGTGATTTTTTTTCGAGAGGTGAAATCCAGGTGATTGAGGAATTTGTTATACTCATTGCTGATGAATAGTGACCCATTGTCAAATCTCAGCATGCGAGTGATTCCAAACAAAGTTAAAACATTCTGGTCAGGTTTTGGTCTGACTGCTTTTTTCAATGTGGATGCAAGTATTAGGGTGGCACAGTGGCTCAGTGGCTCAGTGATCAGCACTGCTGCTTCACAGCACCAGAGGCCCAGGTTCAATTCCAGCCTTGTGAGACTGGTCTATGTGGAGCTTGCACATGCATGTCCAATATTCATACATATTCCTAAGCTGGACGCTGAGCTAATTACTACCAAGCACGTCTGTATCATGGACTAATAATAAATATGGAGTCAAGCATAGAATTTGGAGCTTTGTTGTCAAAGCCAGGAGATAAAGTGCTGGCAAAATGTAACAGTCTTGGTGAAAATCCAGCCTTTTGTTTCGACCTACACAGTAGGATCTATGAGTGCAGTTCACAAATCACCACATGACATGGGTCATTCTTTAAAGTGCTGAAAAGCAGCTATTTGTCAGCATTTGAATCTCAGATGACAAATGTGAGTTGGAACAAGACCACACCTGATGTCAAATGATATCACACTCATGAAAGCAAACATCCACACACTGAACTGTTTATATTACAAAGCCAACTATTTTCGGTTGGTGATCAAATCTTTCATGTCACTGTACATGACTGAGTACATTGTTACATATCTACCACAGTTGGTAGATGTGATGAAATCCTCCAGTTAATTCCGTTTGTACCAAGGAAGCAGGCGTTCTCTGTACTGTGAATGTTACATTTCACAATCTGTTCTCACTGTTATTGCTGGGTGGTAACATTCAATACTATCCCGCATGAGGGCACTGGCATATTGCACGGTTTCCAATTGATCACCCCCAATCAGGGTAGTTCAGGGCTCACTTCACTAAAGCACAGAAAATAACTGAGGGTCAGTTACGATGTAAAGAGAGAGAAAGAGGGTAGACTCCATGTAGGAAGTGCTAATTTTGAACTGTGTTATAGGGAAGGCAACAGAGCTCCATGGGGAGTTCCATATAGCTGGAGTCCTCTTAACAGTGTTGTGGGTTAACCTATAGCACATGGACTGCAGGGGTTCAAGAGGCATCTCACCAACACCTTCTCAAGGGCAACTAGGGATGAGCAATAAATGCTGGCCCAGCCAGCGACGCCTATATCCTGTGATTGAATAAAAAAGTGTTGAATAGCTTTGTGGAACCGGGGTTCAGGGAAGTTCTAGGAGGAAGAAAAGCAATCTCCTGTGGAAATGAACTGTTGAGCTGTATTGCTAAGAAGATAAGGAAGCTACACTGAGCCTGTGCAGTTGGAGACCTGGTGAGAAGCCAAGAACAGTTAGATATCTCCTTGCAATGAGAACTCAGGCTGAGGTATAGGAGTTAGTGGACAACTAATATTGAAAAATCCTGGAAGTTGAGATTTACAAGAAGCTGAGGGCCACCAATCAGTCATTACAGCTGAACAACTGGGGTCTGTTGGTGGGGATGGTGTTGAAAAGCCACAAGCAGTGTCTGGGAGCTCAGGGTAAAAGAAAAGATCTAACTTGGTGAAGCTAGCTGTCAGCTAAAAGCTGGAGATAAGCCTGTGAGGGAGTTCAGCTTCTTGAGTAGAGGGGAACGTGAACCCAGAAACAGCCCTTCAGAAAGTGTTTCAACGCCATGTTAGCAAAAGTGAAAAATTATACTCCCTTGTAGAGTTTAGTGAGATTTGTTGACCTACCATAATCACACAAAATACTGAGGAATCATATATGCACTATGGGATGTTCAATATTAGCCATGTTTACCACACGTTAACTCTGGTTGTTAGAAATAAGTTGTGCCAGTATTGTAGGTTGGATTCCTATTATGATTTGGATAGTCAAGTGTTCTCAAGTGGAATCTTGTGGCTTTATTCTCTTAGTAAGTCCCCTGGATACCAAGTTTTGTTCACCTTAAAAGTAAACTTTAGTGGTCCCTGATCAGATTGTAATGTAATTTGCTGATCTCATTTGGGATGATAACAAAACTACTGCAGTCTGGTCTAGGATCCTGACAGTCTCATTTATGAAGCTAAATGTTTAAGTTACTTTGGTTGAATGTTCACACTTTTTCAAAACAAACCAG